GCCTTAGCTGCTTGAGCCATAGGCACCGAGCCAATCTTTTTTTTTTAAGACAGAGTCTCACCCTATCACCCTGAGTAGAATGCTGTAGCATCATTATAGCTCAACCTCCTGGGTTCAAGTGATCCTCTTGCCTCAGCCTGCTTCAGCCTCCCAAGCAGATGGGATTACATCTGCCCACCACCATGCCCAGCTAAGTTTTTCTATTTTTAGACAGGTGGGGTCTCAGTCTTGCTCAGATTGGTCTCAAACTCCTGAACTCATCAATCCACCCACCTCAGCCTCCTGGAGTGCTAGGATTATAGGTGTGAGCCACAATGTCCAGTTGCACACTTAAAAATCTTAATTACATTCATTTTATGATGATAAAATAGAACATCACAAAGGTTAAGCAATGTGCTCCAAATCATGTTACTATTAACAGTAGAATGCAGTAGCATGAGGATGTAAACACTGACTGACCAGGTCCATTGTTTCAATAATGAGACAAATGTTCTAAAGTTCATACCAAAAGTTTCTGAGAAATAGGTAATTATAAAAGAGTGATATTTCTTCCATTTTTTATCTTTCCCTTTCTGATGTGATCAGATGCCACAAAAGAGGGAATGAAGATATGATTGTTCCTTCTAAGAGCCTGCACAGGTTTGGTGCCTGTAGCTCAGCCGGCTAGGGCGCCAGCCACATACCCTGGAGCTGGCAGGTTCGAATCCAACCTGGGCCAAAAAATAGCTGGGCGTTGTGGCAGGGGACTGTAGTCCCAGCTTCTTAGGAGGTTGAGGCAAGAGAATCAGTTGGGCCCAGGAGTTTGAGGTTGTTATGAGCTGTGACGCTATGGTATTCTACCCTGGGCAACAGCTTGAGACTCTGTCTCAAAAAATAAAAAGAGCCTGCACAAACTTAACATTTCACATTCATGTCATGATGCTCTGATTGATAAAACTGTAACTTCTAAAGGATCTGGAATTCTTTTGTGTGGCAATGTTGAAAATCCATCCCACCATCTTAAAGCAGCATCATGCTTAAAAAATGAAAGTTTCACCAAAAACCAAATACGGTATTACTGAGTATAGAAATCCATCCTTTTCAATTTAAAATATTAAGTATTTCAAATATTCCAAAAAACACAGAAAATTCTACAGCTTATGGTCATACTATCACCATTCGGTTCTCACACATGCTAACATCATTTGCATCAGGTCTTTCGTTTTTAAATAAATACTTGTAAATATAGCTAAACCTTGATGGCCTTGCTCCTCTGGTCCTTTTTTCAGAAGTAACCATTATTCTGAGGCTGGCATAATAATTTCTAAGCATTTTTCTATACCTTTACTACAGTATTTCATGAACAACCTATTATCTTTGTTTTTAAAGTTTATATAAATATATACAGTTATGCATACAGTTGATCCTCTGTATCTGTGGGTTTCACATATTCAGAAAAATATTGCATCCAAACCGACGAACGGGTACGGACCTTTTTGGGTCATTATTCCCTAAACAATACAGTACAACTATCAGCATAGCATTTACATTGAAGTAGGTATTGCAGGTAATTTAGAGACGATTTAAAGTATGTCTTATGTTTGAGATTTAACCACATTGATACATATAGTTTTGATTTGTTTATTTTAATTGCTGCACATTATATAAATAACCCATGGTTGATACATTTATTTCCTTACTGGTGGAACTTTTGACCACCACAATGCCACAATAAACTATTTCCAATATTTCCTCTTTTGTAATTTCTTCAGGATAAATTCTAGAAGAGAAATGGCAGGATCCTAAAGTCTGTGTAACTTCAATATTACTAAGAATTAACAAATCATTCTCCAAAGAAGTTGAATCAAAGACACTGATTTGTTTTTCTGCAACCTCACTGATACTTGATATCGCCATAGTTTTCAATTTCTGCGTCTTACCCATAAAGGGAAAGAATAAGCCTTCCTACTTGTTTCTTGCCCCTTTTTGTCACCTGGGACATGAGCAGCTGAGACAAGTTTGACCACATGGATAATGGCAACACCCTAGGAATGACAGAGCAAGGAAGGAGCCTGAATCCTGACACCTAACTGGACGCTTTTTAAAACCACGGTATTTGGGGTGTCTTGTTAGCCTTAATTAATACACTTCATACTTCTCATTGCCTATACTACACATAATTTACTGACATGCTATCATGAAGAGTAAGAATTTGATTTATACCAACCTGCTACACACACATTTCCCTTCTATTCATTCTCCCAGTATAGTTGTAACAATTTTTATAGTAATTAATATTTAATATCTATGTTACTGTGGCTACATAAATATACTTTGTAAGAAAGCCGAAGTATGTGCTATGATTTATATTTCTTTTCTTGTATTTTGTTTTGGGTTTTCTGTGTAGTTTAATTCAACCCTAAACTTTATTCCAGAGGTAAAATTCCTCTCAGTTTGGTTGGTCATCACATACACAATGTGTTCCTTTTTTTTCCCCATGGAAACCCTCCCTGCAGCCCTCCATCTCCCTGCTCCTACTGAGGCTGGCTATGTTTCAGGTTGCTGCACAACTGCAATTCTGGGCTACTGTTTACCTTTCTTCTGCGTTAAGATTCCATGGTTTCCCAGGTTAATACTATGCCTTTCTTTCTGGATTAGCAGATACGAAAAGAGGTAACATTTTTAAGACTTTTGGTGTGTGAAAAGTCTTTTATTTTGCATTCAACTTCATTTGTATAAACAGAATTCTAGGCCTAGGATCCTAGTTTTTGATATTATTTAGAAATCTGAACCTATTTTGAAAACAATCTAGTATGAGACCTGTTTATTTCCTCTATCATGTTATTTCTCCCTAGTGTTTTAAAATCTCATTAAATTATACATTGGTATGAGTTTCTTTTTCTCTTTCACTGACTGTGGTGGGCACTACCTGAGGGCTTTCGATCTGGAAACTTACATTCCTCTAGTTCTGAGAAGGGTTTTTTGATATTATTTCACTTATCATTTCTTCTATTTGATCTGTTCTCTTAGATATCTGGGTCTAATTACATGTTACATTTCCTGAGCTAATCCTGTAAGTTTCTTATCTTTTCTCTCATTTTCCACTGCTTGACTGTTTATTTTCTAGGGAATTTCTTCAGATTTCATCTCTTCATCCACTCACTGAAAGCCTACCTGCTACTGTATGGCCAGACATTGCTTTAGATATTGACAATACAGTGGTAAACAAATAGAAATCATTGCCCTCGTGGAGCTCTGGTTGGGGTAGGAAAACTGATGTATAAAATATGTAATATGTCAGACGTAAAAAAGTCCTGGGGGTAAAAATCAAGGAAAGTGTAGAGGGATGTGTAGATTTTGGTATTTGTAGATTTTAAATTGAGTAGTTAGAGACAATTTAACTGAAAAGACATACTGGAGCAAAAACATGAAAGGAGAGAATGATCCACATGGACACGTAGGGAAAGAGCATTCCAGACAGAAGGAATCCCTGAGTCAGAGTGTACCTGGAACTGGTCAAACAGAGGGTGTGAGAAGGCACAGACAAGAAACAAGGGAAAGAGGGAAAGTTTCTTCTGTCCAGCTTGTTTTGCTATTTCTTGTTTTGAATGTTTCATTTTATAGCACTTTATTCTTATTTTATAGATGCAGTATTTTTCTTTCTTTTTTTTTTTTTTGTGACAGAGCCTCAAGCTATCCCCCTGGGTAGAGTGCCGTGGCATCACAGCTCACAGCAACCTCCAACTCCTGGGCTCAAGCGAGTCTCCTGCCTCAGCCTCCCAAGTAGCTGGGACCACAGGCACCCGCCACAATGCCTGGCTATTTTTTGGTTGCAGCCGTCATTGTTGTTTGGTGGGCCCGGGCTGGATTCGAATCTGCCACCTTAGATGCATGTGGCTGGCGCCTTAGCCACTTGAGCCACAGATGCCGAGCCACAGTATCTTTCTTAAGTCTTTGAGGGATTGTTTGGTTGTTTTACATTTTCTTTTGTTCCCTGAATTGTTTTTGCTTCCTATGAGTTCCCTTTTTCTTTGCTTGGTTTGCTCTCTTCTGTATTATCCAATATCTGACTTTTTGTTCATATTAAAGAGTGAGGTACTAAAATTCTGAATAGCGGCTGTATGATGAGTAGGAGCAAGACGAGGAGCAAATTTTTCATTTGGACTATTCCCATATGACTTTACCAATTTCCCCAAAGGATTCTCTTCAGTTTAGGGAATATGAGCCCGGCTGTTCCTGTTCTGAGATCAAACAAGGAAGGGACTATGTAGCCTCTTGCTAGACTCCCCTTTGCAGGTTACATCGTGGCTTCTCCTGTTTGCTAAATCAGTTGTCACTAGACTATCTTCCTCCAGCTTCGAAAATCTTAAAATCATAAAACTTAATTACTTTAAATAGATCTGTCTATAGTCTTTTCATATTGCTGCTAATAAAATGAAGTTCTTTTGGGCCCAGTCCTTCTGTTTGCTATTAGTGGTCTTATTCACTGTGGAGTATTTCCTCATATTTTATATGATTTTCGGCATAAAATCACCCTCAGAAGCACTTTTTCTGTGGCACTCCCATGGGGTCAGGCTATGATAGGGTTCTAAGTACTTTGCCTTTGAAGGCAACCCCAGACCTTGGTGATGTGGCATTCCCAGTAAATGTAGGTGGTAGAAATATGAACCTCAGGTGGTGCCCACAGCTCAGTGGGTAGGGTGCTGACCACGTACATGGAGGCTGGCAGGTTTGAACCCAGCCTGGGCCAGCTAAAGCAACAATGACAACTGCAACAAAAAAATAACCGGGCATTGTGGCAGGTGCCTGTAGTCCCACCTACTTGGGAAACTGAGGCAAGAGAATCGCTTAAGCCCAAGAGTTTGAGGTTGCTGTGAGCTGTGATGCCATGGCACTCTACCAAGGGTGACATAGTGAGACTCTGTCTCAAAAAAAAGAAAAGGAAAACAAAATATGAACCTCAAAATACATCAAGGTTTTTTTCAAGAAGATTATTTTCCCCACCCAGAGTCTAGGTAGAGATAAGCTTTCTCAGATAAGTGGAGAGATTTTCCCTTCTGGAGTTACTATCCTTCAGCTCTATGCCAAGGTCTTAGGCTCAAGTCCACAACTTCTATCTTCTGACTCAATCTCCAAAGATACTTTGGTCCCATACTTTCCAAGGCAACCAGTTTTTAAGTTAATGTAATAAGCAACTTTGTTATAACAAGAAGAGTCTCACATTTACTTTGTAAAAAAAAAAAAACATCTTAACAAAAACATTTCTTTAACAAAATCATAACAGTTTCTTAATAAAAAATAAAACTGTATATTATAAATGTTTTAATAACAAAGTGTGCAGCCATTGTTTTTACCTTGTTCCATTCTCTTCATTAGCTGTATTTGATCGACTGTTTTCTTCAAAATCTTGCATTTGTCTGGCTTTACACTCAAGCTGTCAATGTCGCTGATGTTGGCAGACAGTAACTCCGCTAGCTCTTCTAAATACTTATTTTCTTGCTCCCTGCGCCTCTTTTCAGTGCTGTTACACAAACAAAATTCAGTTAGTGTACATTTATACCACAATATTTCCTGCTCTGATCAAGTATTTAATGTCTACACATTTAGAGAGATCCTTATTTTTATCCAGAACATAAATCCAGTGTTAGAAAGCAATTTAAATTCGTATCCCAAAACAGACACTACAAAATACCCAAGTTCAGAAAACAATTCTGGCTAAAACAGACAGAGTGAATGACTGATATAACAAATATAGTTCCCCAATCATATATATTCCTTGAATAACTAACAATTACTAGACATTTAAAAAGGAAACATACATTTACTAGTTGCATTTGGAACTATTTTATATTCTAAATAACTCCTTGAAATAGCATATCAGAATTTTTAAATAACTTTGTTATAAAGTATGCAGAGCAGACTATACTAGAGTTCAATTAATAAATGATAATTAGATATCTGATAAACTTTTCCCTTTTTTTTTTTTTTTTTTTGAGACAGAGCCTCAAGCTGTCCCCCTGGGTAGAGTGCTGTGGTCTCACAGCTCACAGCGACCTCCAACTCCTGGGCTCAAGCGAGTCTCCTGCCTCAGCCTCCCAAGTAGCTGGGACTACAGGCACCTGCCACAACACCCGGCCATTCCTTGGTTGCAGCCATCATTGTTGTTTGGCAGGCCCAGGCTGGATTCGAACCCACCACCTCAGGTGTATGCGGCTGGCGCCTTAGCCACTTGAGCCACAGGCACCAAGACAACTTTTACTTCTTATAGAGATTAGACCATTAGTTGATCCTTACATCAAAAATTAAAAAATAAACGCATTTGAAAGCAAAAAGAGTAACAGAGACAGAGCACAGTGAACACTGTGTTTCGTAAATAGCTTTGTCCTTAAAAAAATAGAAGGAAACATCTACTTATAAGTTCTCAAAGTGCAACAACAAAATCAAATGTGACTTAAAGCAAAATTATGAGAACAAGGAAAAATAGTCCAAACAGCTAGCACTTTTCTCTAAAATCATACTGAATTCATTGAATGAATATCATTTATTTCTGCTTTCCAGTCTCTAGGTTTATTATTTATTGGTTTATTATTTAGCCAAGTCATCAGGCAACCTGTTTTATGTAACACACACAAAGACAATGAAGTATTACTTTGAAATTTTCACATTATCATACTAACATAGTAAGAAAGATTAATTACAAGTACCATTTTGTTTTATAAGCAGCAATCAAAATCATTTGGCTGCATATAAAAGTGGTAGGAAACAGAGGAGAGCACAGGGAAAGATCAGTTGCTAAAAAGCTCATAACTGGCAATAATTAAAATACCCACTTAATGTTTCTTAATATTAAGGACTGTAAAAGCAATAACATTTATACAACATGACAGTAAGCTGAAAAGACCAAGTCAACTAATCAAATGTATCTAGCTACATAAAACAAAATACGAGATGATACAAAACAAAATCAAATTTTGAAACTGTAACAATCACATATCTATCTTTTTACCAGTCATATCTTTCATTATTGAAGAATTTTTCCCACTGTATTTATTAAAACTCTTATGTTACAACTTCCACAGCAAAAACATGTAGCAAGATATTTTGATAAATGTCAAGCCAAGCAAAATTATGAGAACAAGGAAAACAGTCCTTGTTTTCACGCACTGAAAGTGAGGCCTGAATAAAATGAGTAACATACGTTTTGGTATATACAAAGTTTCAGAGAACTTCAGCTCTGCAACTGACAGTGTTTGAAGACATCTGGTTTTACCCTAGAGAAACTTAAGTGATACAAAACTTACTTAGTATATAATCTATTTAAATCTATGTGTCTAAATTTCAATATGACTGTATTAGATTCACTTGGTGGGACTTCCAAATGTGTTTCTCACAGCAAGTTTTGTGTAAAACTGAAGTGCCTGAAAATCACTATCGTGTAAAAGAAAAAGTGATTAGAAGGGGTAAGAGGTAGACAGAGAAGGGACAGAGGAAGCAAAAAACTGAAAGTGATGAAACGCTGAGATGTCTAGAAAGGGACGTGAGATTCAGATTAGGAAAAATTACCAGAAATGAAGTAACCGTTAAACACCATCGTGTAAAGGCATTTATAAACCACTCGTTGAGTTGAACTGGAAATGTCAAGCAAGCATAAGGCACAGCTACCCATCATTTTAAGATTGGCATTTTATTTTATTTTATAAATTTAAGGGGCACAGGTATAGTTTTGTTACATAGATACACTGCATAAGAGTGAATTCTGGGCTATTAGTGCAACCAAGATTGGCATCTTAATCCTCATTCTTCTGGAAGAATAAAGGAATAGAGAAAGGCTAACAGGAGGGAGATATGATATCTCACCTCACCAAACAGTTACTCAGAAACTCCTATCCAAGGACCTGTACACAGGCTGGCAATACCCTGAGGTCCAACAAATGCACTTTATGATTAATGAGTTCACATCTATTTGGGGAAATGGAAATATTACACGGTGGTATTTATGCACAAACTCAATCAATTTCAAAATAACAAATTTTCATTTACCATGTCTAAGATATCACTTTATTAAAACTGAAGCTCACACATATCAACATCAAGGAGATGGTACTTTCAAATACTTTTAAAGCAAATATGTAAAAATAATTATCTTTAAAATATCTAAAGAAAAGAAAAAAGGATATATAAAATGTTGATATTTGTAATGATGCCATGTAAACATACACAAAAAATCAAAGAAAATCTACAAATTAGTCATTATGACACATAACAAAGTTCAGCATAATGATGGATATCCACAAATCATTAGCATTCTTATACATTAATAACTACCACCTGGAAAATGCAACACAAAATAATACTATTCCTAAAGGGGAAAAAACTCTTTGGTACCTTGGAATGTATCTACCCTACAGTAGGCTAGACATTCCTGGGTAAAATTATAAAATATTATTGAAGAACAGGAAAGAATTGAATAAATTAAAAGTCTTATGTTCATAAATACAGACATTCTAGAATCTAGATGATAAAAATGACAATTAATCTAATCTATAAAAGCAAAGGAAATTAAATCAATATCACAGAAGATATTTTTTCAAAGTAAACTTAAAACTGATTCTAAAATCTGTATGGACAAGTTAAGAACCAAAAATAGGAAAATAACAAGAACAGGGACTTGTCCCCTAAGATATCAAGGTGATTACCATAAGAAAGCTCAGAACCAGATCTCTATACCTATAGGAACTTTAACCGTAACAAAAGGAGGAAAGGACAGTGTCATCACTAATGATGGAGAAAAACAATAAAATTAGGTCCCTACATTACACCATGCCCCCAAATAAATCTCAGATCAATTAAAACCCTAAATGTGTATTAAAAATATATAAAAATACATGTAAAGCCTTAAAGTAGAGGAAAAAGTCTTAAGCAAGACCTCAAAAGTTTGACACATGAAAATCTAAGGTTCTGTTTGTCAAAAGATACCATAATAGAGTTAATAGGCAGGCTGGGAAAAAAATATTTACATCAAATATAAGTAAAAAAAGTTAGTAACTAGAAAATTTAAAATGATTATCACAAATAACAAAGAAAAGGACAAGTTCGGTGCCCTAGCTCAGTGCCTAGGGCGCCGGCCACACACCAGGGCTGGCAGGTTTGAACCCGGCCCGCCTGCTAAAAACAAAAATGACAACAACAACAACACAAATAGCCAGGCACTGTGGTGGGTGCCCTTAGTCCCAGCTACTTGGGAGACTGAGACAAGAGACTCACTTAAGCTCAAGAGTTTGAGGTTGCTATGAGCTGTGATGCCATGGCACTCTACCCAGGGCGACAAAGTGAGATTCTGTCTCACAAAAAAGGAGAAGGTGTCTTCCTGGGGGCAGGAAGAGAGCGTGGTGAGTATGAAGGATTCAGGGAAGGCCACTAAATTTGGAGCAGATTAAACAAAACTTCTAAAGTAGCAGTGAAAATAATAAAGCGGCTCTGCCAGAAATAGACTCAGAAAAGAAGAGTGTTCCCACCTTGATGCCAGTGTGTCACATGGTGATCCTTTCCTCTTATGTGAGTCTGGGTTAGCAGGGTCGGATGAACTGTCCCCGAGGCCACTCATGTTGAAAAACTTCACACCTCAAAAGAAAGGACAACAGTCAGAAATCTATCCTTATGACCTTTCCAACTAAATAAGAGGAGAGGAAGCCCTCTTACGTTAGAAATTTTCTGAAAACTGTGGTCTCTCAAACAAAACTACAACCATTGTAAAAGCATCAGCATTTATATAAAAGCACAGAAGTCATCAGCTATTGAGTATTTCTAAACTTTCTTTCCATATCTGTAAAATAAATAATCCTTTGTGAAATTATATCAATTAAGATAAAAACATTGCTAGAATAATTAGATACTGAGATTTTATTTTAAAGAGAAAAAAATCACTTTCATGTATAAATGTAAAAGTTGAATGTGTAACTAGAGTCAGGGAAATTATTTTTGTATTTATTACTTATACCCTTCTTTACAAAATGATTTAAAATAACTTTCACTCATAGGTTTAGGACTTTATATTGATAAAAAATAAATAACATATAATTATTAAAGTTCAAGCAATAAACTATTTAGATTTTGAATTATAATTTACACTTTTGCATTCTATACTTCAAACCTTTGTTTATGTCGTCAGGCAACAAAGATCAAGTGTTTAGTCTATGTTAGGATCTTGGTATAGATGCCAGAGAACACAAAGTCATTCCCCGTAGCACACCAGCCAGGCCTCTCACATGCTGCCCAGTTAGTAACTGCACTTAAAGATCCCTTCTGATCTGTCCTCCTCAACCACTGCACTCTGTGTAATCCCTAATGAACTCAGAAGCCTATGCCTCACTTATAATCATCACTATCTTTTGGATTTTATTAGCGCCTAACAACCCATTTCACCATTCTCTTTTATTCCACTTACCCTCTTAAAGGAGAAAATTATTGTTAAATGGGAAAACCTTTTTCTTAAATTCTACATTATTTAAAAACTATAGCACTGTGTATTCGAGCTTGCTCTGAGAAAATTTATTATAAACAATGTTGAGATCTATGAGACTCTCTCACGTGGCTTTAATTCATGTATGGGAGTAAACCCTTTTACTCCAGTCCTCAAACTCACGGATTCTCACCTTTTTCTGAAGACCAAAAACTATCATATCCTTTTTGGTATACAAATAATCTCTAAAATTTTAATCACAAACTTATTTCATACAACCAAAAAGGTATGTTTCCAATTTCACCACATTAGATGTGCATATTAAGAAAATTTCCAACTTCAAATATTGCAGTCTTGCAATTTTTTATTCTTTCTCTCTTTTACTCCTCATTTCTAATTGGTATCCCTGTCCTATTGATTCTTCCTTAGCAAGAGATTTTAGATTGTTTCTTCATTTTTAATTTCCAGATACAGTTATGATCCTAGTTTGGAACTAAATACCTCATTCTAGATTAAGGCGAGATCCTTTAATCTTGTTTCTCAATTCCAGCCATTCTCACTTCTAATCTGTCCTATAAACAGCAGCAAAAGCAGCCCTGCCTAAATGTCATTTTCAAGATATCACTTCCCTGATGTGGAATCAGCTTGATTTTCCTATCGGGGCAAGGTAAAGGATGGGCTTTGGTGCTGGTCGGGTGCAGAGAAAGGGGAACACTGTTGGTGGGAATACAAATCAGTGCAGCCGTTTTGGAAAGCAGCATAGAAATTCCTCAAAAAACTAAAAATAGAACTACCATATGATCTACCAATCCCATTACTAGGTATATCCAAAGGAAATAAAAACAGTATGTCAAAGAGATACTTGCACTCCTATGTTTATTATCGTTACTATTCACAATGCCAAGATAGGGAATCAACCTAAGTTGATAGAGGAAATGTGGCAGATATATGAAATGGAATACTATTCAGCCATAAAAAGAATGAAATCCTGTCATTCTTGGCAACCTGGATAAAGCTTATAGAACATTATGGTCAGTGAAATAAGGCAGGTACAAAAAGCAAACACCATGTGTTCTCACTCATACATGGAAGCTAAAAAAGGTGACCTCATGAAAGCAGAGAGTAGAATAGCGTTGTCAGAGGATGGGAAGGGGTAAGTTGGTTAAAGGATACAGAATTACAGCTAGATACAGGAGTAAGTTCTAGTGTTCTATAGCACTGTATGGTGACTACTACAATCAATAACTTATTACATATTTTCAAATAGCTAGAAGAAGAGATTTTAAATATTCCTAACACAAAGATATGATAAATGATTGACAGGACAAATATGCTAACTACCCTGATTTGATTGTTACATACTGTGTATGTCAAAATATTATATTGTACTCCATAAATGTGTACAATTGTTGAATCAAAAATAATATTAAAAGCAAGAAGAAAAAACAACCATGGGGTTTGGGCCAGAAAGACTTTGTTCAAGTCCTGGTTTGTCCAATGCTTATCCTTGGGCAGAACATAGAATCTTCCTTTAACCTTATTTCCTCCTCATGTATTTTTTGTATTCATTGGTGTATTGGAGTCATTCTAGTCTCTTCTCTCATACTCCACATGCAAGCAAACATCAAAATTTCTCAATTTTTATTTCCTAAATACTTCTAAAATCCATCCCTTCATATTCTAGACCCCAGTTCAGGTTCATACTATCTCGTGCTGGACCAATAAAATAGCTTCCTACATGATCTTCCTGTTTCCAGTCTTGTCCCTCCTTAAATCCATCTCCTGAGGAGTTGCCAGAAGAGGACACCGAGTGTGTGCCAGATCATGTCGGTTTCTTGCTTAAAACCTTCACTACTAAATTCTCATTACTAAGTAGACAGCATCCAATCCTTAACAGAATACACAAAGTTTACATCAGCTCTCATCTACCGTGTAGCTGTTATAGAATCTGGTGAATGAATATCTAAATGCCTGCCCACCAAATCAAGTGTTTATAGATTGTTATTTACTCCATATTACATATATAACCTGTACATCAACAAATTATATGTGTCTGACTACTAAACAGACATTTCCATCTGTACATCCTACTGTCACCTCCGACCTCATCTCCTACTTGCACGTTCCCCATTTCTAGCCTTCCTCTTCCATGTTTCTCAGAAAACAGGTTCCTGCCTTAGGCCACCCCTCCCCACCCCCTGCCAGGAGCACTCCTCCATATTGAAGCAAGTATAAAACATGATAAGACTTTTAAGCTTCAGATTTCTATTTACAATAAATGAGATGTACTGCCATTAATGGATTAGTGTCATAATACAATGACATACATTATTTGTATATACAAACATAGATTATAAAAAGGGTACCAAAAATGTGTACATGTTTTTTAAAAAACAGTATTAAAACTGTAATAATATATCTGGAAAACAAAAGACGAATTCATTTGAGCACCTCTTGTAGTTACAGAAGTCAAATGTGACTTGAGTATTACAATTTTAACCATTAGACGTGTGCAATTACAAGAGGTGCCCAAATGTGACTTGTATACGTCGTTTGTCATCCAGATAAATTGAGTGTTACAATCTTAATACAGCTTTTTCCTTTCTTAAAATGCATATACATTTTTTTGTACCCTCTGTCAAAAAAAGACTTTAAAAATAAAATCCTCCATAATATCTTCTCAGTAAAGGTAAACATTAGGCAAAAAATATTAAATTGGCCTCAGTGTACAGCAGCCCAAATTAAAACAGCAACAAATATTTATTGAGCTCACTCTATATGGCAACCTCTGTTACAGACCCTGGGGATACTCCTGTGAATAAAATTTGCAAAATCACTGTCCTCAAAGAGTGTCACTCTATCATAGGGAGACAAACAGATAACATTAAAAAGTAAATTAGGTAGTATATTAGAAGGTGGTAAGTGTTATGGAGAAAGAGAGGCTCAGGTAAGTAGAGGTGTAGAAAGTAAGGTAGTTGAGGAAGACCTCACTAAAAAGATGAGCTATGAACAAAGACAAGAAGCCGAGGAGGGAGCGAGCCAGGAGAAGGGCGCCTGGAGGAGTGCTCCTGGCAGGGGTGCGGAGGGGTGGCCTAAGGCAGGAACTTAACAGTTTTCTGAGAAACAGGAACTAGGTAAGGCTAGAAATGGGGAATGGAAGAGTAGGAGATGAGGATAGAGAGATAATGGGAAGCTACATCATTACAGGGGCTTGGAGAAATCATGTAAGGATTAAGAGCAAAGGAATAACAGGATTTGACTTTCACTCTAAGATTTCCTCTAAGAAGGATAAGCATAATCTTTCTCATCTCAATGTTCTGGTGAGTGTCCAACTGCTAAATGGACATTTCCATTTGGATATTGCACTATTACCTCAAATTAAACATGTATAAAACATGATAGAGTTTTAAGCTTCAGATATCTATTAATGATAAATGAGACAAACTACATTATGAATTAATGTCATTAAAAAAGTTTGTTAAATCTCATGTTTGGCAAAGAATAGGAGAGGAAGGGATCTATAATAAGGCAAACACAGAGACTTATATACGCCTTTCGAAATTTACAATTTAAGGTGGACAACCCCCAATTTAAAGCAAGTATGCCAGACTTATAATAACAACCACAACAAAAAAGGTGTTGAAGACCTGAACATGATTTTGTTAATATCTTTTTTTTTTTTTTTTGCAGTTTTTTGCAGGGGCTGGACAACCCCCAATTTAAAGCAAGTATGCCAGACTTATAATAACAACCACAACAAAAAAGGTGTTGAAGACCTGAACATGATTTTGTTAATATC